GAAGCGGTGGATGCCCCATCGCTGGGAGTGTCCAAGGCCAGGCTGGATGAGGCTTGGAGCACCCTGGGCTATGGAAGGGGTCCCTGCATGTGCCAGAGGGTGGGGCTGGGGGAGCTTTGAGGTCCCTTCCAACCCAAACCATTCCGTGATTCTATACTCCTTGCTCCTTCTGGGCGTAGGAGCCTCGATTTCGAAGGCGTGTGTGCGTTTGCCTTCTGATAAGGGGGGGGGGGGGGCTCAAAAAAGTTGAGTTTGTTAACGCTGGTCATCTAGTCGATCGTTAGCAAGTACTGATTACTTTGCATATAATGAATGCCGGCTGCTTGTAGGCGATGTGCTTCTCACAGCTGCTGGCCAGAGCGCCTGTGAGAATCCCTGACCGTTCCCAGTTCCCAGCCCAACGTAGCGTGTGTTTCAAGGCACACGGCCCCGGAGGAGCTCGCCTTAACCCTGAGCGCTTACTGATTGTCACCTTCACGTTCGTCCCTTGCAGGACACCGTATCTGTGCACAGGCCCAGCTTCTACGCCGAACGGTTCCAACGGTTCATGTGCAACACGGCGTTCAAGAAGATACCGCGTGAGTACCCCCTGCGCCGCCGTGCCCTTGGCAACGGCCACGGTTCCTGGCTTGCCCGCGGTTCCTGGCTTCTCCCCGCTCAGCAGCTGTGGTTTGGGAAGGTGGGAGACAGCCTGCAAGAGCTGTAGGAAGCCTGTTGTGCTGCGTCACCCTTCCTCCCAGATTGTTCTTGCCTCACAGACCTTAGAGGAGCTGTTTCACCCACAAAGCGTCTTCTCTCAGGGCACAGCTCTTGTGCCAGACTCCAGCGCTGGAAAGTTGCTGCGTCGGGTCTTTTCCTCCTTCCTGAACCCGTTAGCCAAATGCTTTCTCGTTGGGTTGTTTTGCCCTTCAGTAAAGCCGTCCCCTTCTAAGAAGAGCCGCTCTGGCACAGCCGTTCCTCGGCGGAGCTGTCAAGGAGGAGTGCCTACCCAGCTGCACGTGTCGTGCGAGACAAAAGCTCAAGTGACGACGGAGGCGGATATAGAACAAGGTTGGTGTCTGGGTGGAAAAAACCAAGGCCTGGAGAAGTTCTTTTTCAGCTTGTGTCTGCCTAATCGAGTCCTGCTGCCCCCTGCGCAGGACACCTCCGTGTTGCTGTGACAGGGGAGGGCCTGTTTTTTGGGGTTTGTAGGTGTAAGAAAGCAGGGTGGGCCAAAAATACACACACCGACCAGCCTTCGGTGGCACTGTGGGGGGTGGTGAGGCCTGCAAACGCGTGGCTGACCCCAAGTGCAAGAAGTGGTGGGCAGGCTGAGAAACCTTGTGTTTGGGGGGAAAGCCGCTCACAAGCAGGGGAAGACCAGGTTGTGGAGGTGAGGAGTTGTTCCTTCGTGGGATCTTTCGGCCTTGTCGGAGCATCCAGCGTGGTCCTTGCTCCTCCTGGGAAGTGCCCGTGGGGAGAAGCTGGGCTGGGCTGTTGTGTGGGGACTCGGAGGTGGAACAGGGTGCCGCGGGCAGGGCCGGTTGGTCAGTGCTCGGGTGTCTGAGATGCCTTGGGCAGGATCCAGCACAGATCCTGACCCCTGGCCTGGTGTGGGAGCTCGTGCCGCGCGCTCCCGTTTGCGCTGGTGACGGAACAGTCTGTGCTTCAACTCAGGTTCCCACCTTGGTCGCCCAGATCTCCTGCCCAGGACCCTGCCAGTAGACGAAGCCAACAGCGATTCCATCGCCACAACCCTGTCCACGTCCTCCCTGGGCAGCGGAGGCCTCAACTCGCCCGCAAACAGGTAAGGCTCTCGCTGTTGCGGCGCATGGCTTTTTTCGGGGTGGTGGGCTTGCCGCAGAAATGCCCCGGCGAGTGGCTCGTGTGTTGTGGAGCGAGTTGGGTGCTGTCGTTGGAGCATGTGCGAGGGGGGGAGCATCCTGTCGCCTGTCCTGCGTGCGGATCCCTGCCGATGACGTGATCTCGCGTCTTCTGCTCGGGGTCCCGGTGGCTTTTAGTTCCTCGTGTGGTCTGTACGCCGTGGCTTCGTTCTGGAGCGGAGATAATTGCGCTAATTAAAGTGAGTTCTTCACAGCGGCGCTGCCAAGGGCATTGATGTGATGGTGGGTGATGTCGGAAATGACCTTCCCCCTGCTCTTGTGGGAGGATTGGGCCTCTCTTTGCAACTTACTGATGGGTTTGGCATGGAGCTCCTGCAAATCCCTGGGGAAGGAGGCTGCGGGGAGGCCGAGGTGCATGGAGAGCCCCGAGGGAGCTAGCGGCTGCCTTTGGATGTGTCGTGTCTTGCCGAGGTCGTCCGACTGGCAGGGATGAGGAGGAGCTGTGGTCTCACCATGATCCCTTGCGTAGAAGTTGTTCCCAGGCGTTAACTCCTCTTCCTGGAAGCGATGGGAAGGCACCTTCCCCCTTCCTGACCCACCAGTGGCACTGGTGGAAGCGTCCGCGCTCTCCTGAGCGGCAGAGCGAGGCGCGATTGTCGCAAACGCCTCTCTAAACCACGGGAACCTCTTGGTGGGGATCCTAAACCAGAGCTGCTCCTTCCCAGTACGTCAGCATGCTGGAAGTGTTCTTTTTACCTACTTAACGGCGGGTCTCTCTCCTTCGATCTCTGCGTAGGTCAGTGGGCGTACAAGTGCATAAAGCTGAGAGCTCAGCAAAGGATTTGACTAGAACAGCTCCTGCCAGCTTCCTGTCTAGGTGAGGGGAGGAACCAGACTTTCAAACCTTCTCCTGGCTAGAGGGTGTGCTCAGGGAGGCTTATCCTGGGATTTGGCCTTGCGTTTGTGGCTGGCCAGTGGCTCTCTACAGTCAGTTGGCTCCTAAAATGTCACCTCTCGGGGCGCTGACCCCCACGCGGCACCCAGCGCCCTTCTGGGTACAAACGCGGGTTCTGTAGGTAAGAGCAAACCTGCTGCACCGTTGGGTTGAGTCCCCAGGGTTTCCCTGGCTCCCGTTGGAGCAGAGCATGGCGTTTACCCTACCCTACGGGTACTGGAGCGCGTGGTTACCCTCTGCCAGCATCCCGTGAAAGCCAGCGCCAGATTGCGGGGGAAAGAAATCCAGGAGGGAGAACGGACTGGTGTTTTCTCCCACGTGGGGCCTTGGGATCTGAGCTGCCTACATCAGACTTGTTGTCAGAGGCTTCAATCCACTTTTGTGACCTTGGGAGAGCCGTAAAACTCTGCAGATTTGTGAAAAAAGCCATTCGTGGCTTCTTGGTTTGTAAGAACAGTTGTTGTTGAATGGATTGAAAAAGATGGGGGGGTGTTTTTTCCTCTGTCAGCTGGTGCAGAGGAGTGTTTACCACCCTTTGAGGGGTGACCACCTAAACCTCTGTACAAAGGGGAGTCGTCTCATGCAAAAAATCTCTCCAGCTAGAGCTTCTGCCCTTCCAGGGGTGGGCACAGGGGGAAGGTAGGGTCCATCCCGCTCCAGATCCACTGTAGGAACGTGAGCTCAGCCCTCTGGTCCGTGCTGCCACAACCTCGGTCTCTCCTGCGGCACGGCACATCGAAGGCGCCTCTGACAAGGGGTGATGGGTTTGAACGGAAAGAGGGAGATGGAGATGGGCCATCAGGAAGGAATTCTTCCCGCAGAGGGTGGGAGCACTGGGACAGGTTGCCCAGAGAAGCTGTGGATGCCCCATCCCTGGGAGTGTCCAAGGCCAGGCTGGATGAGGCTTGGAGCAACCTGGGCTATGCCTATGGCAGGGGGTGGGGCCGGTGGGTGGGGCTGGGTTGGCTTTGAGGTCCCCCCCCACCCATTCCATGATTCCATGTATCCTGTCAGGGCCCATGTTGTACATCCTGCTGTCAGACTGTAGCTCACGGAGCACAAAAGGTCTGTAACAGCTTTGCCGGGGGCTTTGCAAAGAGGGGGATCTCTGGGAAAGCTGAGACTTGCCGAGCTCTGGGGCTTCCTGGTTTCCGTGTCCCCGGGCCATTTTCACCCCGGAGCGTTTCTGCGTTG